GAAACGTAATCTAATACTAGTTTAAAATTAATACGCAAGATTGTCAAAGTGACAGCAACCGCTCGTGTTTCCTGTCAAGAGATGTCATCTTTTCAAAACGGTGTGGATTGGCGTCGGTTTGATAGCAACATTATGTCTGATTATCCATGTTTTTTTCTTTTCTTTTTATTTTTAGTATCTATACTTTTTGTAGGAAATATATATATATATGTGTGTGTGTGTGTTTTATATATAATACAAATACCAATAAGATAGAATTTCAAATCAAAATTCTGTTCATTTCAAAATTATGTATTCATTTATGAACAGATAAAAATATAAATAGATAATTATATTTTTAAAAATATGAGTGTAATTAATTTAATTATGTATTAATATGTAAATAATTACTAATTTTTTATATGTTAAATAGTTAACATGTATAAATTAATTGCAAATGGGATTGATATAAATCAAATAAGAAATAGAAATATTTTGGGACTTTGAAATTTTAAATTTTTTAAAAAATTTTAAGGACATTTTTTTTAATAAATAAAGTTATCCTTTCATTTTGAATATTAAATTAAATCTAATAAAATTCAGCCTAATAATATAATATAGGGTCTAATAAAACGTTAAAAGGCCGAATAATAATATATATAGGCATATATATATATATATATATATTTCTTGAAAAAAATTTCAAAAATTCACATTGACCCATGTGGTAACTTTTGGTTAAAATACAAGACATGCTTTTAGTTTATTCTAAATTAACCCATAACGTTAACAAAAGTAATTTTTTAAAAATACAATGAGTGAAAGGTAAATAAGAGAGAAGAGAGAGAAAATAAATAAATAAAAATAATTAGTAATTATCTCATGGTCAACAATACCGATAATAATTTTAAAAATAATTATATTGTGTGTTTTATAAATATCTGGTAAATGAAATTAAATATTTAATTGATAATAAAAATTAATTCAAACTAAAATTACTACATGGATAAATATGAATGTTTTAAAAAATATATCTCCTAATACATATACAGCTATTAAAAAAAATGCTTATATTATGGTAAGTTGTTTAAATGGTGCATAATTGGTAGGTAGTTGGTCAGTCAAAAAAAAATCAAACTAACCGGGGAGGGAAACGTGAAAACAGGAAAAGTTGACACGTGGAATTAGGGCATGGGGTCTTGTCTCTTGTCAACTCTCCTTGCCCGCGCACACACTCCTCTCGCACTCTCACTCTCACCCCTTCTGCTTATTTTTGAATGTTCAAAAACTCTCTCTCTGATCCATCTTCTAACGGAAACAGTCTTCATTGCCGGCCGTTTCCTCTCTCTTTCTCTTTCTCTCTTTCTCTCTTGCATTCTCGCTGCTTCTCTCCGGTCACTTTCTTCTCCACTTTCTGTCACTTTCTCTGGATTTGTTTTTCTCAGTAAGATCTGTTTTGCGAGCGTGTATGTGTTTCTAATTTTTGTGAAACTATTGTAATTGAGAGACGAAAAATTAAGTGACGGAAGGGTTTTACACTGCCATGATTTTCTGTGATCCTTCGTCTCTCTTTCTCGCCTGCTTCTTTCCTGGATTTCCGATCTAGATTTCTTTCAATTTACGCCTGTTTTTTTAATATAATTTTTGTTTCCAAATGGCTAAGTTTTGAGTACACTTCTCTCTCACTCTCTCGCTCGCTCGGTAAATGACTGAAAATGGAGATATTTCGGGTGAAAAGAAGTAACAGCACAGGATTTGCTGATCGGAGCTCCAGTGATAAATTTGTCTCGTCCACCCCTGTTTCTCTTGACAGTAAGCCTTTTTCTTTCGCGAAATTTTCGTTTTTCTTCCGTGGAAAACTGAACATGTACGAAAAACAACAAAGCAAAACGTCCATGTTTCCTTTTATTTTTTCTTTTTCAATTTTTTGTTTTGAGGTAGAAAAAGCTTTTAAAACGGTCGAGCTACGAGACTTTTTTCTTTTTTACCTTTTTGACATTTCTCGCCGAGTAATTCTGCGTGATTTTCGTTTTCTGCTTGGAATCTCTGATTACTGAGTAAAGGACTCAAAGCTCAACATTGTGCTGTTTGGTGTTATTTTCCTTTATTTTCCTAAATTACAGTGCGTCTGGGGTAAATCGATCGATAATCCTCAGATGATTTGTGCTTTTCTATATTACAGCGTGCATCTGAGATAGATGCTTCCACTAATCTTCAGATAGCTGGTGATTTTGTGATTTTAGGTCATAGAAGATTTAATTTTTTTTTCCTTGTGTCTTTCCTCTCTGTTGTCCATCAGAGGTTCGGTGGAATCGTTATTCTTTCTCCTGCTTTTGATAAAGTAGGCTGTTTGGCACTTTTTGGGAAGTGGCATGAGCGTGATTTTGTTTGTCTGCTGATAAATTTCTAGCGTGATCGTAATAAATCATTGCAATGAGTGCTCTAAAATGTAATTTCTCGTTTCTTTATATGATTCCATATTCATGTCTGTCTTTTTTTTCTTTACCCTAGATGTGAAGTTGTCTTCTTCTCCCTGCAGGTTGTTAACTTGAATCTAATTGAAGTGTGGTTTTCTCTTAGGCAAAGTGTATACTCATATTTTAGTGGCTTTTAGACCTCTGATCTCTTCCTGTGGCTTTTACTTGCATTGTTAATTTCTTTACCTAAGGCTCGGTTTTATGTGGATAGTTTTCTGCAAATCTTCATGGATTTCTCCGTTTTGCTTTGATCAGTCCAGCATTTTTTTCCCCACCCAAGAATTTCCATCCTAATTCTTTTTTTGGGATTGATTTCCAGGGAAAGTTCAGGTTCAGAAACAGAGAAACCTTCCAGAATTGGCCTCTGATTCTAGTTCCTGCAGTAGTGATTCTACATATGAAGATTCGGTGCGCTAACTGCTTTTGTTTTGTTCCTTATGTAAATTTGATATTTACTTATGAAATATTGAAAAGTATTCTCTGGTTTATTTGATCTGTGATTTCTTATGCATTTTCTGATCTGTGTCAATTTCATGTTTTTACTTTATTTACTATTTATTTATGCAAGGAGTTCACAGTATTAAGCCAATTTATTTAATTTGTGCAGTTCACATTTGAGCTGGGGTGGAGACCCTCAAGTAGAGCAGTTGGAACCCCAATGAAAAAGTTGTTAGCACAAGAGATGTCAACAGAAACTGAATCTAAACGACGATCACCTAGTGTTATAGCCAGATTGATGGGTCTTGATGGGCTGCCACCTCAGCAGCAAGTCAATAAACCACAAAGTAAGTGTTTGAAGAATCATCAGGAAAGGACAATGTTAACAGCGAAAGCTCACCAGAGCAGTACATTTCATGGTCGCCGGTCTTTCAGGAAAAGCTCGAGGGACGAGGAAGAATTTAAGGACGTCTTTGAAGTTTTAGATGCAGCTAAGGTGGAGAGCAGTAGCTACCCATGTCAGGGAACCGGGTACTCAAATCTCACTGAGGCTGACATTGCATTTATCCAACAGAAATTTGCATATGCTAAATGCTTTTCAACGGATGAAAAGCTTCAGCAGTCAAAGGTATTAGATGATGCACTTGAGGTTCAAGATTCTAACAATGAACTTTTCATGAAATTTCTTCAGCAACCTGATGCATTGTTCACAAAACATCTCCATGATCTTCAAGGTGTGATGCCCCAATCACAAAGTGGTTATAGATCAGCTTTGAAGTCATCACATTCTTCGAGGTATGAAAGTAATGGCCTAGGCCAGAAATATGAGAGAGAAAATCTAGGTTCTCAAAAGCATCAAGATGGCCATGTAGGTCATCCTTACAGCAGACATGTTGCAAATAATTTACCTCAGTCATCAAAAATTCAGTTTGAAGAACAAAATGAACCGGCTGCATTCCCTACAAGAATTGTTGTTCTGAAACCAAACTTTGGGAAGGCACAGAATCCTACTAAGCCTGTTTCATCGCCGTGTTCTTCTCATGACTTTCCGGCAGATTTCAGGCTTCCTGGGGTTAGAAATCAGGAGGCAGAATTGCGAGGCAAGAAGAAATTTCCTGAAGTTGTGGGCCTTACAAGGCAAAATTCAAAAGAACCTAGAGAAATTGCGAAGGAAGTTACAAGGAAAATGAGAAGTAGTATTCGCAATGGTTCCTTGAATCTTCCAGCCTCTGGATTCAGAGGATACGCAGGGGATGAGAGTTCATGTGACATATCTGGAAGTGAATCTGCTTATGAATCAGATGTTACAACTATATCTTCAAGAGCTCCATTTAACTGGAATAGCCAATACCAGTGTTCATCATCCCGCTCCACGGAATCATATGTGAGTAGGGAGGCAAAGAAGAGGCTCTCAGAGCGGTGGAAATTGACTCACAGGTCTCAGGAAATGGAAGTTGTCAGTAGGAGCAGCACACTTGGTGAAATGCTTGCTATTCCTGATAGGGAAATTAGGCCAGAAAAACTAGATGGTATGATGGATCGGATGGGATTCAATGGAAAAGTTTTTAATAACAGTGGACCAAGAGGGTGGGTTGATGAACCTTTAGGTATTAGTAGCAGAGATGGGTGGAAAGATGGATTTGTAAGAAATCTATCAAGGTCGCGGTCCCTCCCTGCTTCATCTTCTCTCCTTGGAAGCCCTAAAGCCAGTTCGTACCATGAAAATGTTTGTGATGATAGGTTCAAGATACCGAAAGAAGTGATGAAGCGAGAAAGAACCAAGTCAGTAAAGGGAACTCCTAATCACAAGGAATTCTTGGGGAGAAGTTCTAGATCCACTGTTAAGAGATCTGCACACTGCTCTAGTCGGCTGTATAGTGACTCCTCAACCAAAATTGATTTTAGCCAGAGAAAGTGTAAAAGCAAATATGGAGAGGGTGTTCCATCTGAACCAGATCGTAGTACTTCTGAAACACATTCCACCATCTCAATAGATCCACTCTCTGTTAATGAAAATGGGACGGATGCAGGACACAAGAAGATAACTGTGCCTTCTGAACTTTCTGATCTGGACTTATCAACTTCTTCCTTATTAGAAGGCAACTTGCCCACCGGTGACCTTGAAGTTTTAAGATCTCAGGTTTGTGTTTTGATTACTCCATATGCTACTTATTTGTTGGCACGCGGACTCCAAAATCTTGGTGATCTCTGACTTCAAAAATAAATGTGCTAATTTTCTTATGCATTGAGTGTGCTGTGTTCACTTTCGTTGTTTTTTTCAGTGCTCTGTGCCGAATCGGGCCGAAAATTAGTATATTTCATATATACATTTACAATAGCAAACTCTGAACTTTAGCTGCCTAAATATATTTCCTTTATATTGTTTCGTTTAAATAATTCTGTCTCGCTCTCTGGTTCCTCACATGTGACTGAAGCTGCCACTGCTTTTCTTTTTCTACTCAAGTTCTGTTTTTGGATGGATATTGAAAAGGTTTTTTCTACCTGATCCTTTCTTATTGATCCAGAACGATTCAAAAAATTACAACATAATGGATACTCTACTGCACTGAAGCTATATGTTCAATCATTAAGTGTTAGTTGGTGCATATATGGAGCTAGCACATCATTTTCTTCATTACTTTTCGTTGCAAGCATGCAAATTAGAATTTCAGTTGAAAGTCATGCCTTTTTGAAAACTTTTCTTGACTTCATCTTTATCACCCATTTCTATGCATCAGGTATTCCTTCTAATTTTTTTGAAGCCTTTCTAGACTTCACATGTAGCTTTGGCTGTCTGGAACTGCTTAATCAAGACCTTTCTTTCTCTATGTGATTTCATTAACTATGTTATCAAGGACTATTTGGTATGTGGTAACTCCTCCTATGATCTTTTTCATGTTATTTTTACTTGAAAAAAAACATCTTTGAAAACAGTTTCATTAGTTATGGAAAGCATTTTGAGTCCGGTGATCATTACAGAATGTCATGGATCTTCCACTGGCAGAAAAATCCGAACGTAATGTCTGCCTCCAGCTAAAATATGAGTACTGTCCTAGCACAGTATGCCAAATTAGCCATTTTATCTGTTCAACTGTTACTGTTTTCTGTTTTTTGTTTTTGTTTTTTTCTTAAAAAAACTGTTTGCAGATACAGGTTTCTAAATTTATTTTGGGAAAAAAATTTATTTTTACACCCACATATGGAATGACCATGACCTTCTTTTTGTTGCAACTTTTTCTGTTATAATGTGCCAAGGCAACAAGGTTAGCACAATTAACTGCTCGTATATGTGTTCTTGATTGCTTGTTTCTCTTAAACAATCATGAAATGAAGATTAAGTTGATTGTTGGTTAGAATTCAGAAATTAGGTGCTACTCTTTGGGTTGTGATGGAGAATAATTTGGCTATTGTGATGTCCCAGAAATCATCAAGTGGAGATTCCAAGGGTGATTGTAGATCATCTACAGGAGATTCATTTCCTCACCCTGTTGGTGAACTACAACCTTCAGCAAGTGCTAAAGAGCCTGATCAGCCTAGTCCAGTGTCAGTTTTGGAAGCTCCTTTTCCTGATGACCTCTCATCTGGTTCTGAATGCTTTGAGAGTATAAGTGCTGACCTCCATGGTAATTTACAAGTACTTTTATTTGTTAGCAATTTGCAGACATCTTTTGGGCATATGTCCTTGAATTTAGTTTTCTCTAGGATTTTCATTATCCATATTTTTGCTTAGATTAGAAGTAATCCATTACTTTTACCTTACACATCAATTGCATTTGTGACATGAATTATACAGTGGACAAAATGTGTTTAAACATACCATGATTTCTGTCTTATGTTCAAACTTAGAAGAAAATTGAGACCCTTCTCTTCACAGAGGGGCATATCAATTTATTGCAAACTTGTGCCCCATCTACTTTGGTCCTTAGTTAATGTCCGACACCATAGGCAGCTCTTTACCCAACATTACATGGGCAGGTGATGCAGAATGGAGATAAAAAACATTTTCTAAATAGATTAGGATTTTTCGAGTATGTATAAATTAGGACATTATGAGCTTTAGGTTTGTTTTTCTTGGGCATGAGACTCTGCATTGAGCCTAGATCTAAACTCTCCATTGCTAGACATGTCTACAGCTGAAAGCTCAGTGTCCTCTGGTGATTGTAAACTAGTGTGAACTTCATGTAAATGGGGCTGTGAGTGAGACTCATCAAATTAGGACATTATGAGCTTTAGGTTTGTTTTTCTTGGGCATGAGACTCTGCATTGAGCCTAGATCTAAACTCTCCATTGCTAGACATGTCTACAGCTGAAAGCTCAGTGTCCTCTGGTGATTGTAAACTAGTGTGAACTTCATGTAAATGGGACTGTGAGTGAGACTCATCAAATTTGCTCTGTTTTGATTAGTCCTAAGCACCACACTTTTTTCGTTCCTTTGGCATGTAGTGTAACACTCAAATGGTGGAACAATACAGGTTAAATTTCTTACTATCTAGAATACTGGTTTAATGCAGTATATTCACTGCAAAATATTTTTTGAAGTTACAAAATTCAAAAATAAAATAATTATTTAGAAAATAAAAAATTGAAACTGAAAACTTTATCATTTAAAAAAATCGAAAATATGTAATAATTACAAAAATAATCCTATCACTAAAGGCATTCCATTCTAACTTTTCATTATGCATCAATGTCCTTTAATGACCTTTCAGTTGTCCAATTCTCTGATTCTGTCGGATGATTATCATTCCTAACATCTGCGACTTTCGAGTTATTTATCTCAGATTTTTTTCTTTAGTGGTAGCTGATGATGCCAATTTTATGCTATTATACTATTCAAAGGTGGACCAAAGTCAAGTGTTACTTGAATTTCATGTTGTGTGATTCGGGTCCTTACCAGTGACGTCTTAGTGATAGTGTTAGGATTAACTGCAAGTCTTCAAATGTTACCAATTCCTAGAAATCACTGAGGTTGATTCTTTTGTCATTGGTTCGAACCAATTTCTATTGAAGATTTA